TATCTGTAGCCCACTTATAGTCAAACCTGACTCACTGTAGTTTTTGGCCAGACAGCGCATATGGTTGATATCCCATCATGTTCGCAGTGTCAATAATATCTACAAAGATATAAGTGTCATTTCATGACATGGTCTATGTGTAGCCACGATTTCGCTCTCAATTAGACGGGCTACGTGTAGTCTGCTTTTAGCCCACCTGGCGAAATCGAGGCAATGTGTGGTCTAATTTTAATGGTTTGGCTATACCCTATACCACCAGACCAGCGATGAGCATGGCCAAAATAGCCTTAAAATTGTTTACATGTAATTTTCACCCACGCAGCTTCTAATCAAATGCAAGTAAACTTTTGAATCATTTAAATTAGCATTATTTTATATTTTATTTCATTATTTTACAGCATTATTAAATATAGCTTATTTATTATGCCAAAAATAATGCTAATTTAAATGTTTCAAAAGTTTACTTGCATTTGATAATATGATGTCATGCATCCCACAAGCTGTTATGTTACATTCATACACATTATATGATATTATTGATATTCGGCTGTCTTTAATTTGATAAATAAAAATGCAATTACAATTCCCAACCGCTAGATGGCAATTGTAGCCCTACTGATACATGACTACGAGAGTGTAACGAATCAGCTCATGGGAAATATGAATAATTAATCATGACTAGTTATGATTAATTATGAATATTTTAGATCCGCTGTAGATATTTAGCTGACCTCTCAGGGTCAACTGTCTTGTCGATGAGCATAGCCAAAATAGCCTTAAAATTGTTTACATGTCATTTTCGCCCACGCAGCTTCTAATCAAATGCAAGTAAACTTTTGAATCATTTAAATTAGCATTATTTTATATTTTATTTCATTATTTTACAGCATTATTAAATATAGCTTATTTATTTATGCCAAAATAATGCTAATTTAAATGTTTCAAAAGTTTTCTTGCATTTGATAATATGATGTCATGCATCCCACAAGCTGTTATGTTA